CTGCAGACATTTCCATCTGCAATTTTACTTGCAAATGTCAGTGGAACCAGTGCTCTATTCATAATTGTGGATTGTCCTCTTGTATATCTGAAGTATTCAAGCAATAATATGCATTAAATTATTTAAAATGTCCAAGGACAGCCAAGCCTATCATAGCCCAAGCCTCACTTAACACTTATACTTCAATATCACGATTGACATAAAGATTCTAAGAGGTTACCAACTAGAATAAACTTAGAATAAAACTGAATAGAACTTTTGAAAGAACAGATTTTTAAAACTTGCAAGGCTTTAAAAATATAGATTTCCAAAGGATCCAGTCATTTGTACCAATTTAGTCACTTATATCTTGTATACTACTATATGATTAGAATATTCAGAATTATTAACCTATAAAACCCTCAATCATTGAAGAGATTCACTTATGTTTACTAACCTGGGTGGACACCAATATTTATAAGGGTGTTCCAACAAGGGTCACTATGAAGCTTTTCTGGCTATTCCCCAGCTCATAATTTCAATTAAATCCTCTAAGATTCCAGTTAAGATTTTAGGAAATTTTTAAGGTATACCTTTTCTGAAGTAGAACATGACTATTTAATATGATTATTTCAAAGTTTTGTTTTTTTTTTTTTTTAAGATTTTATTTATTCATAAGAGAGAGGCAGAAACACAGGCAGAGGGAGAAGTAGGCTCCATGCAGGGAGCCCTACATGGGACTCGATCCCGAGTCTCCAAGATCAGGCCCTGGGCTGAAGGTGGCGCTAAACTGGTGAGCCACGCGGGCTACCCACTTCAAAGCTTCTCAATTATTATTATTTTTTTTGAGAAAGGGATACTTGTGATATAAATCAGTAAACAACTACTCATTATAACCAGTGATTTTCAACTTTTCCCCCTTATCTATACCTGAGAGAAAGTCAACTACATACCATCAGAGAGTGAACTCTTAAAATGACTCTAATAAGAACAGATGACATTTTCCATTGTTTCAAACTGACTTTTACTACAATATCATATAACTTCAAGTATATTGCTACATTAGATATCACTGTCAAAAATAGTCTGTGAGTAATAAAAGACATAGCAATAGAGTCTCAGTATTTTGAGAGTAAGTTTACATGAGTATTTCCTAAATTATGAAACAGTTTAAGTGACGAAATTTTTAAAATGCAAAAAATAATCTTTTAATAACTACTTTATCACTTACATATATTTCTGTTTGCTGAGGTCTAAAATTCCACTGGAGACTTGCATGCACATCTGCATTAAAGGTGACTTTAATAATTCGATCCTTAACAGGCACCATGTTTTCAATCTGGTCTGATGCATGACCTGCTACTGCTGACCCTCCAAGACCAGTAGTCTAGGTATTAAAGATATTAAGAATATTAGAGGATAATATGTCAGTACTTTCAGGTGATGATTTATTCGATAAAAACAAATCTTAGAAACAGTAATCTAGTAGAAACCAAGTTTTTATACTGTCACTGACCATCTCCTATGAATGTGTCAATGGTTTGACCACCTTTGTAGTGTCAAGGGTCTATGTCTGTTAGAATGACTTCTCCTTCTTCAGTAATCACTTGGATTATCAAATGAGTCATTTGGGAGAAAGAGACTCCCCATTGATAATATATAGCTCAGAACTTTAGCTTAACTTTCCATTAAACATATTTCTACTTACTGTGTTTCATATAAACTATTAGTCATTCATAGAGATAAAAATTACCCACAACTCTATCATTTCAATGAAACTAATTAATTCCATTATCTACAGTCCTGTCTGATCCTTTTCCACATCATAACTTTTATAACATAGTTTGTAGTTTCACTTCTGTATTCTGCTTTTCTCAAGCATCATTAAGTGATTTTCCATGTTGGTAAATGATTTTGTAATTTTTTTTCTGTTCTTTAGTTCAGCTTTTATACGTTATCAGTTAATGAGAAAAACTGATCCCTTTGGCAACTGAATCAACTAATCACAAGACATCAGGGTAATCTGTATCTGATATTTCTTGCCTATCTTCACTGGCATTAATTATCTCATTATCAGAGATGTTTAGAAAAAAAATCCTTACTTCCAGGGTCATCATTCTTCTGATGCTTGAGGTTGCCAGAACTCTGGTCTCCGGATAATTAATCTGTTACTATACTAGGAGAAAAATACCAAATTTGAGGCTAGGGGAAGACTCCCAGCAATATGTAGTATCACTATCTTCTATTTATTACGCAAGTCAATTAACTGCACTCAACTGCCATGCAACATTACTGAATTACTTTATAAACCTACAAGCTGCGTTAGATGGCAAGCCTTTACTTATCCTTGTTTAGTAAATAAATTCTTCTGCCCGAGAGAGCTATAATGCTTAAGTTTTAAGATGTAACTCCTGAAGAATGTGAGTCACTTGATTAAAGATTCCTGAATGTATTCTGACAGTTTTTGAATTTGCAAATTTGATAGAGAATTTAACAGAAAAGGGCAATGAAAATATGTCCTGGGCTCAGTCTAGTTCTTCTAAGTAGTTCCAAGAACTGAATAAATCTTACTTTGGGGCCGGGGGCTACATTTTCCCATACTCATGTGAGGTCACTGTATTAAATCATTTATGTAATTCCTTATTTTTGGCTCTGAAGTTCTGTAATTCTAAAAGTGAAAGGGATGCTCTTTTGGAAATGTCCCTATGTAATATCCAACTTGATTTAAGATTACAAATTATAATTTTTTTTTTATCCTGCCCTGTATTTGCACACACATGCACAAAATATTGTCATTCACTTCAGTGTGAAGCAGCGTTTCTCTGGCACTAAGGGCATTTTGGATTGGATAATTCTTTAGGTTCTTCTGGGGGTCTTTGGTGGAGAGAAGGGGGAGTGTCTGTCCTGTGCAGTGTACTGTCCTAGTCTGCCCACTAGGGTATCAGTAGCATCCTCCCTGCTCACTTCCCAGGTTGTGACAACCAAAAATGTCTTCAGACTTTGCTGAATTCTCCCTGAAGAATAAAAGTGAACCCCTCTTCCTATGGTTTGCAGAGATTTATATTTGATATTTTGGATTCAGTTTGGTTCATTGATTTAACCAACTGCTAGTTTGGGGATTCATGCTAGGTCCAGGCTGCCCTCTGATGAAAACTAATTCACATTCTGCACTCGTTCTCCGGAATCAAGCTGCTGCATGCCTCATAAATGCTCATATTAACAGACTGAAAAAAAGTCTTTTTGACTTCTCTTTTGGTTATTACGGAAAACAATGGCAAGTTAATCACCAAAAGGAGAGAAGCCAGCCAGTAAGCCAGGCATTAACAATACCGGCAGGAAAAAAAGCAGTCAACCAGTGATTGCCAACTTCACTACACATTGGGATCACCTGAGTAACCTTTAAAAAATTACTAATGCCTGGCTCCCACTCCCAAGACATTCTGATTTAACTGCTTAGGGATGTGACCTGGATGTCAGGATTTTTAAAAGTTCTCCAGATGAGTTCCTCTCATCAAAACGAAGAGTTGGGAGAACACTACGAATACTTGGTGAATGAAACGAATGTAGCTCTCACCTACGTTTTTTGAACGAACTCCTGGCCCCTCCTCAGAACTCCTAATCAGAATCTCGGGTGTTAAGGGAGCCCTAACAGGTTTATTAAGGAAGCTCCACTAGTGAACGGTAACGCCTAGAGAAAGCAGCAAAATCGCCCCTTTAAGAATGAAGGAGAACCAACGTGACATGAAGTCTGCCTTCGTTTACGGTTGTCAAATATTATTCCGCACCGAAATCCCCTCAGGGACTTACTAAGTCACGGAATGCTGGGCCCCTCCCCCAGAGTTTCTGATTCAGCGGCTCTGTGGAGGTTTTTTTTTTTTTTTTAATTTTTTTTTAATTTATTGATGATAGTCACACACACAGAGAGAGAGAGAGGCAGGCTCCACGCACCGGGAGCCCGACGTGGGACTCGATCCGGGTCTCCAGGACCGCGCCCCGGGCCAAAGGCAGGCGCCAAACCGCTGCGCCACCCAGGGATCCCCCTGTGGAGGTTTTAACCCAACACCGTGCCCTCGAGTTCCCGGGTGATGGGACGCTGGTCCCCCGCAGGAACCGCACCTGAGGAACGAACGCATCAAGGGCTTCCGCTCGAGACGGGAGCCGTGGGTAGTAAGCGCGTGTGCAGGGAAGCCCCCCACGCACGACTCGTGCTTCTGTGTGGGGATTAAGCCGATTTACAAGCACAGCCCCCATGTTTCCAGGGCTGCCCTTCGCGCCTAGACCGTACACGCTTCACAGAATGAAGGTACCGATGCGGTGTACGTTCCGGGAGCAAACACTGTGTGAACGGGCAGAGGCTAAGGCGCACGGCTGGAGGGTCTCACCCCGCAGCGAGGTCGGCAGAAGCACGCTCGCCGCAGGGCCTTAGCTTCTACTTGGAGCGCTGCCACCAACTTCTGGTAAGCGCCGGCAAGAACTTTTTACGGCCCGTTTCCTCTCAGGTAGCCGCTGACGTCAGGCGTCCCCTCCAGCAGGACGCGGAGGAGCGGCCGCCGTCCCTCCGGGAGGCAGCGCCGGCCCCTACCTGGCAATACAGCCGATAAAGGGGTACAGCGGCGTAGGACGCTCCCAGCATGCCCACGGCGGCCGCGGCCACGTACGTGAGCACCGTCTTGTTCCGACGCCGCCAGTCCTCCTCCTGCGCGCGAGTGAAAGGGTTCGTGCTCTTCGGCCGCCGCGGCGGCGGCTGCAGCGCCAGCTCCGGGGCCGGGCTCGGGCGCCTCCAGGTCCCGAGGCGCCGCAGCGCCCTCTCAGCACCTCCCGTCCCACTCCTTCCCGGCCTGAGACAGGGCACTACCCTCTCCGCAGCCCTGGCCGCGGAGCCGCGGTGGCTCCAGCGCCAGCCACAGAAGGCAACGGGTCTCCACGGGGGACGCCAGAGCCCTCCCATAGCGCCCGGGGGAGAGAGCTCCCGCAGCCGGGGACGAGACGGCAGATCTCGCGAGGCCTGCGCAGTCTCGCGACATCTGGGGCGAGCTTGCCGCTGCTGTGGCTACGGGGCTCCTCAGGTGGCGGCGCCTGCGGTCGCGCTACGGAGGCCCGGTTGCCGGATTACGGGTAAGTTCGCGTTTTGCTTCATGACTTTCCTCCCACTTTGCTTCCCTCCGGCGCCTTCTACTAGCTTACTTTGAGGGAAACGCCATGCGCTCCGCGGGGTGCAAACGCCTCATCGTTTGGGCTCGTATCTCTGATCTTCCTAGACTCCACCATCCTTTGTTTCGACCTAGCGGCCCTCAGCCGCCGGCCCGCTGCTTACTGCCCTGGACTTGAGCTCAGGGACCACCTCTTCCAGGAAGCCTGCCTGGTGTTCACCACGGCGCACAACAACACTCACACACGTGTGCGTTTCCTCAGCCCCCGGGAATCGGCTTCCACTTCTCTTCGGATGCCCTCTAACCACTTGTCCAGTGGAAAATGACCAGTTCTGGAGCAGAGAGACGTTGTCAAACGAGTTTGTCCAGAGGAGAGTGACCAAGACAGGAACATACTTTAAGGCAGGATTGAAAGAAATGGGGGATGTTCATCCTGGAAAAGAACCCTGTCGGGGATGTACTACCTCTTCTTCGCTTGACCCAGGGGACACACTAGGACCTGAGGGGAGAGGCAGCACAGCCTATTTTGCTGTAATGGAAGGAAAAAGCTTTCTAGGAACTATAAAGGAGCTGATGAAAGCCCCCATTCTGAGGTGTGGCAGCTCGGGGGTGATGCCTGCATCCCACTATGGTCTTCTGTCCTTAGGCCAGTTATTCCATCTCTCTAAGTCCTGGTGGCCTTGTTAATAAAACGGAAATCATAAGAGTAAACGAGAATATGCATATCAAGTGATTTTCATTGTGCCCGAGACATAGGAAAGCTAGTAAACGTGAGGCTGCCTTTCTTGTGTGTGGGTGTTTTGGTTGGTTTTTAGATTTATTTTATTCATGAGAGACACAGAGAGAAAGAGCAGCAGAGACACAAGCAGGCTCCCTGTGGGGAGCCCGAGTCAGGACTCGATCCCAGGACTCTGCGGTCACCACCTGAGCCGAAGGCAGACGCTCAACCCCTGAGCCACCCAGGCGTCCCATCACACTCTCTTTCTAATGACTGGTGCAGGTATAATTATTCCCACTTTATGGATGACACATATAAATAACATTTAATCTAAAAAAAAAATCTATTTATTGCACTTTTCCACAAGCCAGGCCTTGTTCAAACTTACTGAGGCTACCGCACAGAGAAAAGCAAACACAATCCCTTCTCTTAGGAAGTGTACTTTTTACTGAGGGATTCTGGAGATAATCAAGTAACAGATATATAAATGAGGGAATTTCAGATAACAGTGCAGTGAGACAATAGAAGAGTGTGATTGGGAATAATAATGAGAAGGGTTAGTGAAGTCTTTCTGAAGGTGTGACATTTGAGCCTAGTCCTGAATGATGATAAGGAACCTACCTATACTGTGACAATTCCAAACCATGCAGAGTCCCAGAGGCAAGTAAGATCTAGATAGCATTGAAGAGTAAAAACAAGGCCACTGTGTTCCGGGCATAGAGAATAGGGAGGAAAGTAGTAGGAAATAAGGTCAAAACAGGTAGGTTAGGGGCCAGATAATACAGACCATTTTAAGCCATATCTAAAGGTTTGGATTTTATTCTGAAAGTAATAGGAAACTACTACAGAGTTTAGGTTGAAGTATACAAGTGATATGATCTGATCCCACATTTTTTTTTTAAAGATTTTATTCATTTATTCATGAGAGAAACAAAGAGAGGCAGACGGAGAATCAGGCTCCCTGCAGGAAGCCCGATGCAGGACTCGATCCCAGGACCCTGGGATCACACCCTGAGCTAAAGGTAGATGCTCATCCGCTGAACCACCCAGGCATCCCTGATTCACTTTTTGTTTCAAAGGGTTATGTTTGGGATCCCTGGGTGGCGCAGCGGTTTGGCGCCTGCCTTTGGCCCAGGGCGCGATCCTGGAGACCCGGGATCGAGTCCCACGTCGGGCTCCCGGTGCATGGAGCCTGCTTCTCCCTCTGCCTGTGTCTCTGCCTCTCTCTCTCTGTGACTATCATAAATAAATAAAAATTAAAAAAAAAAAAACCAAAGGGTTATGTTTATTTATTTGACAGAGAGCCAGAGAATACAAGCAGGGAGAGGAAGAAGCAGGCTTCCCGCTAAGCAGGGAGCCCAACGTGGGTCTCTGTCCCAGGACCCTGGGATCATGACCTGAGCCAAAGGCAGACACTCAGCCACTAAGCCACCCAGGCCCTAATTCACATTTTTTTAAAAAAGCTTTTATTTATTCATTAGAGACACAGAGAGAAGCAGAGATACAGGCAGAGGGAGAAGCAGGCTCCATGCAGGGAGCCCAGCATGGATCTCTGTCCCAAGACCCAGGGATCATGACCTGAGCCAAAGGCAGATGGTCAACAACTGAGCCACCCAGGTGCCTCCTGATTCACATTTTTTAAAAGACCTTGGTTGTGTTGTGTAGAATACATTAAAGGGAGGGGGGCAAAAACGGAAGTAGAGCAGTTAGGAGGCGATTGAGGTGAGTAATGATGGTCACCTTGAGTGAATGTAATTATTAACTTGTCACAGGGCCAGAAAATTGCAAAGCCAAAAATATCTTCTGAATCTTTCCTACTTTGGCACAAAAACTTGAAAATGCTCTGATTCTACGAATTTATTTGTATTGTTTTGTGTTTGAAAATCTTTTTCATCTACCTTAGTTCTTATACCAGATTATCAGCTTTTTCAGGATAAGACCTGTCATATATTAAGTTTCTTACAGCATAGACTCAAACCTCATGCAAACATAAATGTCACTGAAACCAACAATACATTCCCTTAGCCATTTTTTTCCTCCAGGCCCCCAATACGTAGCAACAGATAGCCATATAAATACATCAGTAATAGTGTCTTTGTCTTGGGATCTGTTATTTTGTTTTGTAATTTCAAATGAAACTATTCCTTTCCAAGGTGCAATAATCTATTTTTTTTAAGATTTTATTTATTTATTTATTTATTTTTTAAATATTTTATTTATTTATTCATGATAGTCACACAGAGAGAGACAGGCAGAGACACAGGCAGAGGGAGAAGCAGGCTCCATGCAGGGAGCCCGACGTGGGATTCGATCCCAGGTCTCCAGGATCGCGCCCCGGGCCAAAGGCAGGCGCCAAACCACTGCGCCACCCAGGGATCCCAATATTTTATTTATTTATTCATGATAGAGAGAGAGAAAGGCAGAGACACAGGCAGAGGGAGAAGCAGGCTCCATGCCGGGAGCCCGACGTGGGACTTGATCCCGGGACTCCAGGATCGCGCCCTAGGCCAAAGGCAGGTGCTAAACCACTGAGCCACCCAGGGATCCCCCCAAGGTGCAATAGTCTTGATAGTGGTAAAATGGTCTTAGCTATAGTTCTCATGAGTCTGGGTGTGCTTGTAATATTGCATACATCATTATGATAACTAATGCTAACCTATGAGTTTGACCATGAATGGAGGAGCACCTCGGGGCAAGGATATTACCTGTTCTGCAGGTAGAGGTATTGATTACAAACTTAAAATATTAAGGACTGGACTGACATTTCAGACTTAGCACCTTTAATCTGTAATATCATTTTTTAGAAGTAAACCTTGTGAACCCTTTCTAGTTAGCTTTGATCATGTCCAATTTTATATAATAGGTAAAATTTGTTGTTATACAAGCCATTTGGGGAGATGGGGGTGAGCAAAATGGGTGAAGATGGGAAAAATGGGGGAAAACAGAAACCATTGATAGTCACACATTTTCTTATCTGATTATTGGCTTTCAAGCTTTATGAAGACTTAAAGATTATAAAGATGAATCGTTTTAAAAATTTGGTTTGTAATTCCATTTTTGAGTGTTTTTTAATGCGTAATATAACTTGAGGAAACTGCTACTTAAATCTTATCATGTTAGTCCCTGAGCTGCATTTCTCAGCTATTTGCCTAATAAAACTACTAGATCCATTTGGCAGTGAAACATCTAGCACTTATTCCAACAGTACTAAAACTATTTAGCTGCTATTTATTATAATAATCTCCTCATCCCTAAACAAGAAAGAGTAATGCATCTCAATAAATATTAAGAACAAGTGAATTGTAGTTCATTTGAGAATAAGCTGGGCAATCACAGTTTTCAGTGATTGCAGTGATGGCATGAAGTTGTCACAGTAAGTCTTGATCTCCTAGTTTCTTATTTCCTGGCAACTTCCTTTAAGTCACATATTTGAGGAACTACTCCATTTAAAAGATCTTCAATAAGTTTATATATTTGACAGACCAGGTGGAATGAAAACAAGTCATTCATCCGTAGAGGGCATTTTTAAAAAATGTTTATCAGGATCAGGGCCAGCTTCGTGGATAGATGACCCATGCAGTCAATAAGAGCCTGTTTTTTAAAGGGCCTTTTCAGCCCTGGTGGCTCAGCAGTTTAGCACCGCCTTCAGCCCAGGGCGTGATCCTGGAGACCTGGGATCGAGTCCCACGTCGGGTTCCCTGAATGGAGCCCTCCCTCTGCCTGTGTCTGTCTGTCTTGTCTGTCTCTCTCTCTGTGTTTCTCATGAATAAATAAATAAAATCTTTTAAAAAAATAAATAAAAATAAAGGGCCTTTTGCCCCAAATAGACGGAATGACATTTCAGCATAATTTGGGCTAAAGCCATGTCAGCCTTCCTGGGATAAGCAGAGTTAAAAGCAGAGGCAGAAAACTGGGAAAATGCAAAAGCAGAGAACCCAATCTCAGGAAATAAAAGCGAAGAGATGAGGAAAAAAGCAAATTTAGGTCTCCTGAGAATAGTCAGGATCTATGAAATAACATCAAGCAAAATTCCAAGCTCCTTACCATGCCCCATAAGACTCTTTGCTTTTTGAACTTCATCTGCTGTTTCTCTCTCTCCCCACATTCACCATGTTCTAGCCGTACTTCTTTGTGTCTGTAAATACCCCAACATTTTTTTTTGCTGCCTCAACACCTTTTCTCTGCCTGGAATACTTTGTCTCCCAGTTTTTTTCCTGGCTGACCTATTTGGATCTTAGCTAGAACAC